AGCTAGCCCTTTGCTGTGCTTCCTTAACTGACTGACTGGACTTTGGCACGTGCGACACGTTCTATTACGGATTTCGTTACATATCTCGCACCTATAAAGTACAAAGGTAGATCTCTGCGTTCATCGATCCACTATTAATACTCGTCTATCTCGTGCTCGTCATCTCTATATACGTGTATCGATGTCTAGCTGTCCACGTTGCGTACGCCACGGATCTACATTACGCGTAACGTGCATCATGGATAGAGGGACACGCGTGCCCGTACACGTGTGTGTGCGTGTGCTTGCGCCGAAGGACGAGCGATTCGCAACGCCCGTATACCGCCACACGGTCTTTCGCCTGTACGTCTATATGTGCTTGCAAGCGCATTATATTATACGCCAAAGCAGCCTACGTATAAAATATATACGTACAAAAGTATATAGCGCAGGAGAGAGCGAGAGCGGCGGTGGCGATGGACTCGCGCGCGCGCAAGCTCGCAAGCTCCCGCAAAGCTAAAACTACTATATGAGCTACGAGCGCGAGCGGCCGAAATTCCCTGTGTAGCTCTCTCTCTCTCGTATGCAGTGGTATAGTAAGTAGACGAGTGCACGCGACAGCGGCCTACCAGCGGTACCCAGGTGAAAAATATGACAAAAGATCTTAAATAAGTTCCTATACGAGATCACACATATGATCGTACACAAGATCTTGTGCAAGATCTGGCCTACGATAATCGACACAAGATCTTATATAAGTTCTTGTGTCAGATCGTATGTTAGAACTTATATGCTTTGATATTTCAGAATCCTAATGATTTTCATACCTGACGGAGGAGGTGTACCAAGAATTACTTTAAGATGGTTCATTAAGTAATAAAGTATGGAAATGTATATTAAATAATAACAAATTATCAGATTTTTAATCGAGGAATTATTTTATTTTCAAGTTTCAAAAATGATTACATTTTTAAGTGCGACCTAACATAGATAGGTTTATTATTAAACATTTTCTACATCTAATTGACCAAGAAAACTCTAGGTTTTTTACGAATCAACTTACAGCTGGTTTTCACAAAATACACTTAAAAAACATATTTGATCTGATGATAGTCGAAGATGAAAAATAACCTAAGAACGGGTGTAGCACCTGAAACATGAATTTTATGAAAAATTACCACTTTCTTGGTGAATTCATGTATGTGTATTTATGCATGTATTATATTAGTATTAGAATAATAAGGTTATTTTGTTTATTAACTACATTACAAATCACTTATCTTATAAAGATGCTACAATCCGGCTCTGCTGCGACACTGCTTCTGTTGCAACTGCTTCTGCTGTTTCTTCAATTTTTTCACGAAAATCACTTGCTACGGTCGACGCCACGCAGATTAGCGTGCGCCGTACGCAGCAGCGCTCTGTCTCTCGTTTGTAACCGACAATTACCAAATTATTCACGCCAATAACAGCATAACAGCGATCTTAAAAGTGTTTCCAAATATAAATAATATATTTCACATCAATTTTTAACTGGTTTAGAATATATATTCTAGTGTGAATAGTTTGGTAGTTATCGGTCACTGACCAGAGATAGAACGCTGTCATCTGCGTGGCGTCGACCGTAGCAAGTGATTTTCGTGAAAAAATTGAAGAAACAGCAGAAGCAGTTGCAACAGAAGCAGTGTCGCAGCAGAGCCGGATTGTAGCATCTTTATAAGATAAGTGATTTGTAATGTAGTTAATAAACAAAATAACCTTATTATTCTAATACTAATATAATACATGCATAAATACACATACATGAATTCACCAAGAAAGTGGTAATTTTTCATAAAATTCATGTTTCAGGTGCTACACCCGTTCTTAGGTTATTTTTCATCTTCGACTATCATCAGATCAAATATGTTTTTTAAGTGTATTTTGTGAAAACCAGCTGTAAGTTGATTCGTAAAAAACCTAGAGTTTTCTTGGTCAATTAGATGTAGAAAATGTTTAATAATAAACCTATCTATGTTAGGTTGCACTTAAAAATGTAATCATTTTTGAAACTTGAAAATAAAATAATTCCTCGATTAAAAATCTGATAATTTGTTATTATTTAATATACATTTCCATACTTTATTACTTAATGAACCATCTTAAAGTAATTCTTGGTACACCTCCTCCGTCAGGTATGAAAATCATTAGGATTCTGAAATATCAAAGCATATAAGTTCTAACATACGATCTGACACAAGAACTTATATAAGATCTTGTGTCGATTATCGTAGGCCAGATCTTGCACAAGATCTTGTGTACGATCATATGTGTGATCTTGTATAGGAACTTATTTAAGATCTTTTGTCATATTCTTCACCTGGGTAGTAGCGCGGAGTGAGTTTGCCAAAAACTACACGCGAGCTACTATACTTACACGTTATAGGTAGGGTGTATAATATATACGTATAGGGGGATCGGCTGAGATTCAACCGCGCGCGCCTTATTGATTGGTCTACTGCGCTCGCTCTCTCGCGCGCTGCATATAAGTGCACGGCTATGCTATATATACGTATGTAACACACCTGCATATCGTACTACGTGTGCACATAGCACACGTCTATGCTACGCTCGCTATGTGTACGTACGTAGCAGCCGCAGCAGCTATTACTACGGCTACGACTACTAATACTACTACTATTACTTTTCTACTACTACGAAAGCTACTACTACTACTACTACTACTACTACGAGCGACGAGGGGGTTGGTAGTAGCAGTAGCAGCGTACATACACGTATATATAGGCGCTGCTGCTGCTGCTGCTGCTTCTGGCACTGCCACCACCGCTGCGTGTGGACTGTAAGAGGAGGAGGAGGTAGAGGAGGCGTGTGCAGCAAGAATACGCGAGAGTCGAGTCGAGAGGAGGGTGCGCTGCTACATATACATATATACTCGCTCGTGCACACACACACACACACACATGCGGCGCGGGGAGGGTCGAGGGGCGCCGAAAGAGCTACTGGCGACTATCCGGGGCTGGCATCACGGGGGCTCTCTGTGTGTACTACGAATCCAGCGTAGAAGGGGTCCACCCCGTCTACGAAGCGAGCGCCGATAACGATAACGACGTAGGTAGGAGGCCCCGTCTTCGCTGCTGCTTTACCACAGCATCGAGACCCTCGTCGAGCGTAGTGTGTGTACCGTGCGATACACCCACGCACACGTACGAGAGCAAGCGAGAGGGAGAGAGAGAGAGAAGAGACTCGATCGATCGCACGGCGGACTGACCCACATCCGCGCGGCGGCGGCGGCGACGGCGGTGGTAGTGGTAGTGGCAGCGGCTTGCGCGATCGCTAAAGAAAGAGAGAGAGAGAGAGAAGCGCGCAAGCTCTCTCGGCCGAAAGCACCCCTCCACCAAAGGGGGGACAGAGACAGCAGCAGCAGCAGTATAGCAGTAGTAGCATTAGAGCAGTATAGCACAGGATAGGCTCGAGTCGTCGAGTGTGTGTGCCTGAGGTAGTGCACGTATCGTTATATAGGTATAGTCGTGCTTTTTGCCGTCGACAAAACGAGCGTCGAGGAAGCTGGCGCCCTCGCGCGGCCCAACCAACACCACCACCACCACCAGCGGACTCGCAAAGAGTAGCAGTAGTAGTAGTAGTAGAATACGCGAGTACAAGAGAGAGAAAGAAGGCACACATACACACACGAGCAAAAAGTCGACCCCCCCGAGCTAGTAGCAGCAGCAGCAGCCCCGTCTCTCTCTCTCTGCGCCGAGTCGAGAGATCGACGACGCGACTCTCACTTACTCACGCGCGCGACTCTTGTGTGTGTGTGCGGCATATATACAGACACAGACTGGTTATATGTATACATAGGTACGCGAGAGGGTGAGAGAACACGGCCGAGTGCGAGAATGCAGTGTGCACCGAACCTATTCGCAAGAAAGAGAGAAGCGAAGCGAAGCTAGAGATACGCTCTCTCGCGACGAGAGAAGAGAGATATATAGCTCTCTCTGCTAGGCGCTAGCCCTAGCTCGAGCGCGTATGTAGTGAAACCGCCCTTGTGACTAAACTCGAACGACGACGACCAAACACACACACACGTACGCGCGCGAATATATACAGTATATAGTATCAAGTTAGTCGAGTCGAGAGAGAAGCGCTTTTGGATCGGGCCAGCTGCAGCAGCGAGCAGACACACACACAGTTCGCGCGTATTGTAACGCGAGGAGCGCAGTGCATATAGTGTAATATAATGTGTGTGCGTCCGTGTGCAGTACTACTGCTGCACATGTATACACACGTACACACGTCCTAACGTAGAGTTTAATAATGCGAGCAGCATCAGCATCGGCAGTAGCTATGGAGCAGCAGCAGCAGCATCGGATGGTGCATGAGCAGCAGCAACGTCGTCGTCACGGCTGCGTGTGCTCGTCGTCGTTTTCGTCGTTGTCGTCAACGTCGCGATAGTGCAAGAAAAGGTGCTGGTGGTTGCTGGTGTCGCAGACGTGTCTAAACGCCAAGTGTGCAGTGTGTTACGGATATAAGATACCGAGTTTCGAGCACGATGCAGCGTATCTACGATATTTCCTTCGTCTGCTCGTAATATAAATAAATAAAATAACGAGTGCTCTCTCTCTCTTGGCGCTCCGCAAGCTCGCTCCGAGCTTGTGAGTGCGTGTGCAAGTGTGTGTGTGCAAGTGTGTGCGTGTCTCCCTATATATATATACGTGCGCGCGTGTACATCATCGCATACATGTGTCGACGACGATGATGAGCAGCAGCAGCACATCGACGTGATAGAGAGAAGTAATACAATATATATAATGTCGTGGCCATGTACGCGCTGCCGCACGAGCTACAGCGACACACTTATTATCATTGTACCACGAGTGCTGCAGCTAGCGATATAATACGAGTACGATGGTAGTGCGTGCGCGACGACGACCGTAGGAAATAATAATAAAGGTGCAGTTACGACGACGATAATAACGAGATCGTCGTCCAGTGCTAGTGGTGCTGGTGGTGGTATAAGGTGCCCGTCGAGGCCAGCCTACAACTACTCCTCGAGCTGCAGAGGCCAAGTGGCGCCGTCGCCAACACGCCAACCTGGCCTGCCACAATCCCTTCGACTCGGTCATCGTAAGTCTCACCCTACTTTCTTTTCTTTTTTCTTTTTTATCCGAGCGCCTATCGTGTACGTCACGTTGTAATGCGTGTGTGTCGTGTACACGTATATACATATATACCAGAGCTCCGCTGTCATAGTTATATACGTTATATATAAGGCGCGTGTTTTCTCTCGCACGATACGCGCGAATGTCTGGCCGGTGGTTATATATACACGTATATATAAAATACAGCAGTAGCAGTAGCAGTAGCAGCAGCAGCCGTGGTGGTGGCCCTCCCCCCAACCGACAGAGTGTATACGTAGCGTCAGTTGGAGCGAGTCGATCCGCTCTCTGCTGCTGCTGCTGCTGCTGCGAGCTAGACGAAAGATTGATCGATATGAAATACAAAACGTGACCCATGCTGCGGCTGCTCTCTCTCTCTCTCTCTCGGCAGGACGCTGCTTCTTATAACGAAGGAAAAAATTGATGTATCATAGGGGGCTGGAGTATACTGGGCAATTGGGAAGCGCGTGTGCGACGAGGACAGAGAGCGCCATTTTGGGTCCTCTCTCTCTCTCGCTCTCTCTTGGTTTGGCATAGTTTTCAAATGTAGCAGCAGCAACTCGTGCACGCGCGCCTCTCGCAAGCTCGCAAGCTCGCGAAGAGTAATAGAGAGAGAGAGAGACCGTATAGCACAGGTGAGTGCCGCTCGACTCTCTCTCTCTCTCTCTCTCGTCGTCATTTATCCGTGTGTGTGTGTGTGTGTAGAGTCGGGGTGCGGGCGGTACAGTTTACACACATACACACACTCGTACACACAGGCTCTGGCTGTGCCTCGTATCTATATTTATACTGATCCGACTGGAGCGAGCTACGCACGCGGGTTACGTTTCATACGTATAAACACACGTACGTATACGCGCGTAGTGGGTACACACGCTCGCGCCTCGTACGCCTCTCCGTGCAAACGTCAGATTATACGTGTATGTGAGCGAGCTTGCGATCAGCAGCAGCAGCAGCCAGTCCAGAGCTTGCGGCGATGACGCACGTACAGATGTGCGAGCTGGCAGTGCTCGTGTTGTGGAGCACGATGCAGGATTCGCAACTGGCTATAGTGGCTATCTGCTGCTGCCTACTGCGCTGATGTGTGTACGAACGCGCGCGCGTGCTAACTTTTATCTATTCCGCAGTATTACATATATATATGTGACGTATACACAGCATGTGTGAGTTACGTGTGTGACATTAGAGCGAGAGAAAGACATGGACTCGATGCAGACCGGCTGTGCGCTGCTGCATAAGCCTGCAGTGTATACGTCGAGCGATCGATATATTACCCGAGCGACGAGCTATATCATATGCTCGCGCGCGCGCTACCTTATGTACGCGTGACGGTTACGCGCTAGATTTATAATGCATATATAGCTAGTACGTGTAGCGCATCAAGCGGCGTATATAAACACGTCGTGGACCGCGCGCGATTATTTTATCCAGTTCGTAGTCGTCGTCGTCGTCGTCGTCGCAGCCAAAGATACGTAACTCGCGGCTGTCCAGGTGTGCGCCTAGGCTATATCTCGTGATTTCTCGTATCATACTGCATATCGTCGCAAGCGCCAGCCCGACGATAATGATGCGTATCGATTAAAGTCCGTCCAAAGCGAGAGCTAGAGAGCTCGCACAGCCGCAAGCAGGTCGGAAGCGGAGCAGTGCGGGGCCGCGTTACGCACAGCCAGCTGCAGCTTTCAATGGACCATCGATATGCTTGCGAGCGTAGTAATGAGTAGTATACGTACGCGAATACTACGATTACTATTACTACTACTACGCCTGCTACTACTACTACTACTACTTTTACTACTACTGCTGCTCTTGATCAAAACTTTTTTTCCTCGCTCTACCCTCGGCATATTAACCCTCGAGAGTCGAGCTTTTTTTTCTCATTTCAACGCGTAACTCGAGTGAGCTTGCGTCGTCGTCGGCAATGTGATTGACGCACGAACAGCAGCTCAGGCGGGGGATGATGTTGTAGGCGTCGAAAAGCTCGCGCGTGGCCCCCCGACCAACCGAGACAATCTCGAGATATTATATACGAGGAAACCAAATACGGCTATTATTATATTATATCATTATATATAGTGCGATTCTGCATAGCTCGCACTCGACGACGCCGAGAGTAATACTTGTATTACTTCAAACGATTTCGTAATATAATTACGAAATCTCGAGGTCGTCGCAATTATACCGTACTTCGATTAATTTTTCGGACAAGTGAAACTCTCTGGTGCAGCTGCAGCGCGGTGTACGTATTATAATATGCGCTATATACAGGTACTGCACGAGAGCAGAGCGAGAGAACAACGTGCTTTCCCTTTAATTGAAACAATTTGGCAACTGCGCTGCCAAAGAGAACGAGAGAGAGAACGAGAGAGAAAATGAAAAAAAAAAAAAAACGAGAGAGAGAGAGAAAGAGATCAACACTCGTGCATGCGGCCGTGAATGAAGGCGCTTCGTCCGTGAGCCGCTTTTCCGAGGCTAAATAAACGCTCCGTTCTCTCTCTCCGCTGTATACGACTTTTCAACTCAATGCAGCAGCGTTTTGACTTTTTCCAATCGTTTTGTGCTGCTGCTGTACAGCGCTCGCGTACGTGCACACGCGTTGGGAAATTGTTCAACGAGTCGAGCGATTTTCTCTATATATACACGCGGCAACCGATTTTGCGATGGATTAATTTTTTTCGTTTTGTTTTTTTTGTATCGTTTTGTTTTGCTTTTTTCGTTCTTTCATTCTCGCCGATCGATCGCAATATATGATGCGCGCGCTCGCGCGAGTATAAAAGTTCTTAATAGGTTCATTGACTCGTTTTCTCCTCTGGCGTATCGAGGCACGTTCAAGTTCAAAATGCAGATCGTGTGCACACATTTTTCCCTTTCGCGTGCGCACAACAGCGGCAGTAGTAGTAGCAGCAAAGCACCGCTATTATTTATTCAAGGCGATTGTTTGTTCTCTCGCGGCGAGCGCGTGTACACGCGTACACACGCACACACGAGAGAGCGAATACCGAATTTGTACGCGGCGCCGTCCGATCCACCATGCGGTGCGTTCGTCACGCGTGTCGCCGAAAAAAAAAGGCTCGGGGCGCGCCACGAGATACACGAAGTACGCGAGAGGTCAGGGGGTTTCGTGGCGACGCGAGGATTAAGAGGAAAAAAAAGGTGGAAAAGGTTTATACTGCGGCTATAGCGCACATCCGGAAATCGATGGTATCAACTTTTTGGCCGGCATTCAAGCCGTTCTTACAGTTTCGAAAGTAGAGCCTCTCCCTCCCCAACGTCGTCGTCGTCGTCGTAGTCGGAGCTTGCACAGGGCAGTAGTTATATATATCGCTGAATAGTTTAACGAGTCCCGAATCTCCGAGTTACGGTGTATACGTGCGATTCTCGCGGCGCGGCGCATCGCAAGCACATCCCGACGCGCGAACTCGAGCTCAACTCGAATTCTCTTAATCGATCTCCAGGCGCGAGGTGTGCTGCTGCCCTATAAAAATCATAACGACCGGGATATTTTCCGGACGATCTTTAATCAGGAGCCAGATGCGACCGCGCGCGTGCCTGATAGAGTACCAAAATCTTTGAGCTTTCGTCACTCGTCGCAGTTATATATTTAATCGCGCGTACGCATAAAAATAAGGGTGTTTATAATAAGCACTCGATGAATGCTGCAGGCGCGCGAACGTCTGGAAAAAAAAGCTGATATCTCGAAATAAAAAATGAAAAAAAAAAAAAATGACTTGGAGGGGAGCAGACGGTGCACACACGCGTTATATATATAGATCGGCAATCGAGCGAAAGGGTAAAAGAGTACTACTTCTATACTATATATACGGCAGGAGAGGGTGGAGATAGAGCAGCGGCGGCAGCAGCGGGAGGGGATCTCTCGCGGTAAATTATCATTTCTGCCGGAGTCATGTACAGAGAGAGAGAGCCGAGGCTCTCTGTGCAGATTCCTCGTCGCGTCATCCCTAATGAAGCGGAAAGACCGAGCGAGAGAGGGAGGGAGGGAGGGAGGGAGATCTACTGCAGCTGGCAATTATATAGCTCTCGTGTACGTGTGTGCCTCTGCTGCGAATGAAGCTGCTGCAGCGGCGCTTCGCGCTCGGCATTCTCGATGTGTTTTATATACGTACATCTATATAGCGAGCAACGCGTCTCGTCGGTGATCGTCCTCGGCTGCAAGGAAATCTGCCGCTGCTGCACACACGGTACAGCAGCAGCGGCGCTATTATATGCTCTTACTACAACTACTACTACTAGTATAGCCGCAGCGCCACGACGAGGACGAAGGCCACTTTTACTCGTGCGGAAATGAGAAAAACTCGACACAGCCGCACGTACACGTAGGATAGTAGCTATAAGTCGAATCGAGTATAGCCCGTGTCTTGCAGATGCAGCATCGGACATTATTACATTATACTAGATGTGGCTGTGTTACGCGTTGGTATGCACATTAGCATTTGCGAGCGCTCGAGAGAAACGCATCGAATGATATTCACGTTATTGTCTCTCTTTCTATACGGAACGATGCATACCCGTGGAGATTATACAGCGAACGGATCAGTCATGGCTCGCTTCGACCTATAGTCGCGCCTATCGTATAGATTTCACACTGTCCCCCGGCGTCCGCAGTCCACGCGCAGCTATACAGCACCCAAAAGCTTCGACGATAGAATTTCGTCATAGTTTATCGCGTTTCTTCGTTTTATTTCGCTATTAGCATGGCTCTTTTTGTTGACGTATATACGCGTACGCGAAGAAAATTGAATGATATTCGCGCGCTACATCGCGGGCTGCAGGTGAATCGTGCGTGCGCGTGTGCCGGTCTCGCGAATAGGAAAAAGCTCGCGCTTTAAATTCAACCGGCGCGTTTGTGCGACTGCGAGTATGAAATATTTATACGCATATTTGCGCGAGTTTTATATATATTATATATATACGCGTCATGTTCATGCAATCTACATTTGCCTTTTAACATCT